GCTCTGCCCCCTGTTGTTTTTTTGACCAGCCACTGCAGCTTCCTCCTGCTTGGGCTGAGGAGGTCTCTGTGCATTTGAAAGCTGGAGGAACAGCCGGGTCGACTTGAGTGGTTCCCTTTGATGAATGAGAGATCAAATGGCTGAGTCTTGTGAATACTTCATTTCTGCTCTAGGGCTGTGTACATTATGCACGTTCTCCTTACTGCCGGGGTGAGGAGAGCTTTCCCTGTCCTTTGAATACTGTATGGGTCTCCATCACCGCAACAGGTCTGAGGACCCCGGAGTTTTGCACCACCTGCAGTATTTAAGTGAAGGGGGAGAGAAAGGACCACCGTGCTGTACCTCTTTGGCAGCAGCTAAAGTAGGCTTCCTGGTGGTGGGTAACAGTTTATCCTAGCAGTCAGAAACAGGCGTGGAAAGGCTCGGGCATTATGCTGGCCTGCCCCTGTTACCTGGCAGAATCCACTCAGGCAGTACCCTGGTCAGCCCAGGGTTCCATGGGAACTAAGTCTGCACGCAGGTGCAGAGGACCCCTTTAAAAGATCCCTGCCCATTTACACTGTCTCTACACTTCTCTCTCTCTGCTCTCTCTACACGTCTCTCTCTACACTCTCTTCTCTTCTCCTCTTCTCTGTCTGCTTCTCTCTCTCTCTCTCTCTCTCTCTATGGCGACCAGCCATGGCGGTCCGCCATTAACCCTGTTTCTCTTCTCAGTCTCTCTACTCTGCAGGGCCTATAATAAATTGGTTAATGTGTCTCATTTTGTGTCTCATCTGGCCCCTCCTTCTTCTTCTTTATTTTTAATTTAAACAAAAGAATTACAGGTGTGGACATAATGCTGGCATTCGGGGGCTTTGAGGAAAGCTGAGACCTCATGTTTGTTCTTTTCCTCCCTCAGCTCTGATATCTAAGGACTTTGTCATTACCCAAGACAAAAACGTGGAGGAAGGCCGATCTGCCCTTGAACTTGTGGAAGTCATGCCTCTTGTGAGTTTTAAAATAAATGTAAATATTTGTTATCCTGAAACTTCCCACCTAGATCTACCAGTTAATCTGGTTCCCTGAGGTTTGTTTTAGGGAGTAAAAGATGGATGGTAGGATGATAGGCTAGGCCCTGTTTTTTTGTTTTGTTTTGTTTTTTGAGACAGGGTTTGTGTAGCCCTGGCTGGCCTAGAACTTGCTCTTGTAGACCAGGGTGGTCTCAAACTCACAGAGATTCACCTGCCTCCACCTCCCGAGTGCTGGGATTAAAGGCGTGGGCCACCACTGCCAGGCCCAAGCTATGCCCTTTCTTGTTGCTCTGTCTTCTCTGGCACATGCCATTCTGTGGTGATGGTGATTCATTCTGTGGTGAAATTTTCTGAGCAGATCTCCATTTCCCTGCATGAGATGGGAGCATCCTTGTAGGTGCTAAGCTTTGAAAGAAGAGAATGATCACACAGGCAAACGGGGAGGTGGTTTTAGTCACCATTTCAGCCTGTGGTTTATTGTCCTGCCTTGGAAGAGATTGACATTTGGGTGTAATGGAGACCTAGCTGGGAACCCAGAGTTTAGATGCCAGAGTATGATCGGATTTGAGGTTACACCAAGCATTAGGGTCTTTCTCCATTAGCTTCTTCAGCTTAAGCACAAGAGAAATACAGAGGATCATGGGAATAGCAAGTGAGAGCCTCGGCCTGAGGGGTTGGTGGGTTGGGTTCTGGGAGCTTGGAAGAACTTTAGAGATCGGATCCATGCTCTGCTTCCAAAAGATGAGGATGTTTTACTCATTCTTTTTTTTTTTTTTTTTATGTTCCACCTGCATGTTGCCTGCAGGCCAGAAGAGGGCACCAGATCTCATTACAGATGGTTGTGAGCCACCATATGGTTGCTGGGAATTGAACTCAGGACCTCTGGAAGAGCAGCCAGGGCTCTTAACCTTTGAGCCATCTCTCCAGCCACCTCAGTCATTCTTTTCACTTAAGAAACTGTATAATCGATAAAAAGCATCCTTCACTCCTCATTTGTCTCATGAAGAAAATGCTTGCACTATGTTCTGATGTAATGGCGAACTGAGCTTGGCAACAACTCTTGACTTTGATGAAGCTATTCCCTCTAAGATATACAACTCTTTCTTTTGAGTCAGGGTCTTACATGTAGCACTAGCTGGCCTGGAACTCAGTATGTAGACCAGGCTGGCCTCGGACTCACAGTGACCCACCTGCTTTGGCTTTCTGGAGTGCTGGGATTAAAGGCATGCGGTACCATGGTGGCTGTAAAATGTTTTTTAAAAACATTTTCTTAAAATAATTTAGGGAAAAATTCAAGTGTCTTTGCCATAAAAAAGAAATGCTTCTGAGCTGAATTGAGAATTTATGAAAACTCCATTTAACCTTTTAATTTTCATCCCCGACCTCTACATAGAAGGGTTGATCTGCAGCAAAATGGAGTTTGTGAAAGTATTTTAACACTGTGCCCTCCTTGTGCTCACTTTGACACCCAGCCCCAGCTGTTTTGTTCACTCGAGCAACCCCTTTCTTTCTACAGAGACGTTCTCAAGCTCCTCTCGCCCCACTGGGACACATCCCCGTGAAGGAAATGGTCATGCATTGCTCACACTTCTTGTTTCAGGGCTCAGAACTCTTCAGGGACGTGGCCATAATTTTCTCCCAAGAGGAATGGGAGTGCCTCGAGCCTGTTCAGAGGGATCTGTACAGAGACGTGATGCTGGAGAACTACAGCCATCTGGTTTCTCTGGGTCTGTCAGTCTGGATCTTCCTGGCAGTGCCTCTTCCTAGTCCATTATTGGGTGTCCTTTCCCGTGTCCCCTCCTTTTTTTTTTTTTTTTTTTTTTTAAGATTTTATTTATTTATTATGTATACAGTCTTCTGCATGCAGGCCAGCAGAGGGCACCGGGTCTCATAACTGATGGTTGCAAGCCACCATGTGGTTACCAGGAATTGAACTCAGGACCTCTGGAAGAGCAGCCAGGGCTCTTAACCTCTGAGCCATCTCTCCAGCCCCGTCCTAGTCAGTTACTGGGTACCTTCCAGTTCCATGATGGTCACTTTTGAGCATACAAAAGCAGCGACTTGCTTGAATTCATGCCTTCCACTACTCCAGGTCACTGTTGCATTTTCTTTTGGGCCTCTCTGTAGTTGTCTCCCTACTCAGTGACAGGCCTCTCAGTGCGACCATACGGTGTGGTTTTTTTTTTTTTTTTTCTCTTCTCCAGGTCTTACCATATCCAAACCTGATGTGATATCCATCCTGCAGCAAGGAAAGGAGCCCTGGAGAGAGGAAGGGGGAACAACAGGAGGCCTGTTTTCAGGTGAGTGACAGACCTTGTCAGGAACTAGACACTCAGGAGACCTCAGTCTTGTTGCCATTTTTTGCAGCTGGACCAGTTAGGCTGGACTAGAAATCACCAGTGTAGCATTCTTCAGATAGTTGTATATAGTATAGAATCAGGGATGGCCTTACTTAGAAGAGAGGAAAAGTGCTCCTGGAATAAACCCACAAAACCCAATCATGCTAAGTGGATACAGTAGAGAAAATGCCATTTTGGAGGAAGGAGTACTTTCAAAGGAACTTCTATAGAAGTAGCCAAAGTGTTTTTTTCCCAGAAATCATGGCCAGAAGAGAACGAGCATCATATGGTCACAGTAGTTCCTGCAGCCGGGTCCATGGTTGTTTGCAAAGTCTTCTGTTCATCAAGGTAGTAGTTTAATATCCTTGGCCATGCTGGCAGTGATGGTGGCGCACGCCTTTAATCCCAGCACTCGGAAGGCAGAGGAAGGTGGATCTCTGTGAGTTCCAGGACAGCCAGGACTGTTTTACAGAAAAACCCTGTCTCACAAAACAAACAAAACCAACCAAACAAAAACCAAATATCCTTGGCCAGCTATACTTTGTATACTTCCTTCTTTTTTAAGATGTTAGCCAGCTGTCCTCGCCTTTGAGTGGGTCAGTATGTATAAGTGGGCAACCTAATGTCTGGAGGCCATCTCTGCAGCTGGTTAGACCACAGTAGACACCACTTTCCTCTTGAACAACCAAATGGTGCTTGAAAAGAATATATCTCGACTTTTTGACCTGTTCATGTGTCTTCATCCTTCCATGTCGAGAGGACTGATTGTGTTTGCAACATACATTATTGAGGTGGCGGCAGCCAGCGTCTTCCTCACAAAACCTGATGCCTCTTTGAGCAATCCTTATCTTCCATTCTACAAGCATCTTACATTCCTGTAGCTTTCCATCAGGACAGTCACAAAGCGACACTCATGTGCCACGGTGTCTGTGCAGTCCTCTGGACTCATCTGCTCCGTGAACTTGAGTGTATTCAGAAGCAATTGTCACTGTCGCCCAGGGTTCCTTGCGACATCCTTTAATGAGTCTTTTTACTCAATGAAGTCAGTCACTATGGTTGCAGTGTAGCTTGCCACTGTCCTGAAGTCATGTGCCAGGTAGAACTGGATGAAATACACCCTGCAGCCACAAAATGACTTTCAGTGTGTGTGTGTGTGTGTGTGTGTGTGTGTGTGTGTGAATGCCAGTACATGCATGCTGAGGCTACTGTGTGGAGGTCAACGCTAACTTTTGGAGTGGCTCTCTCACCTCACTGAGGCAGAGCTTCTCTTATTTTGGCCACACTGTGTCATCCGGGGTATCCCAGGGCCTTCCCGTTGATTCTGTGGTCTTTGCCTCTCATCTAACTGTAGGAGCGCCGGGATTACACAGATGAGCCATCGCATCTGACTACTTGTGGGTCCTAGGATTGAACTCAGGC